TTGCTTAAAACAATCTCTTCCAGCCTCCAGCGGGAGCGAGACAGCATCCGTCCATTGCAAACATATCTCTCACATCTATTAGTCTTCAAGCGTAACATAGTTTTTAAATGCCACATGGTCTTGCAGCATCCTAATAGTATCTCTTGAGGAAAATATTTTCCCTGACACCGTATCAGGGATCCTTAGGAATAGAAACAGAAAATATTAGGCTGGTGATCCACCTCCACCTGCAGATTGCCAGCAGCTGCAAGTTGTCCAATAGATATATTGATTTAATTAGTCTAGCTAAAACTATCACTTTTTCTGTTGAAGCATGATACAAGTCAGCGGTGTTTTTTAGGTGCTGTACTGCACAATTCTCAGCTAGCACCCATAACTGTAGTCAGAAAAAAACATTCAAGTTGTAGCTTTCAAAGTACTGTATATTATATACTTGTACTGTGCAGTATTTGTACCAACCTCAAATACTGGTTTTCACAACACCCTGTCTACTTGTCCTTGCTCTTCACATGAAGCAAGTAATTTTACTGTGTATTTTGAGAGGAGTAGCAAGGTAGGAATTGGGAGAGGGGATAACTGCGTACATATGAACCAGATGGTATTTTTGATCTCCATAACAAGAGGGCTGTATTTCCAACATAGTCAGCTCTCTGAAGCTTTAAGAGAGGCTGTCGGGCTCTCCCTGGTGCTTTTGGTTTGATTCCTGGTTTGTGAGGAACAAGCAGGACTTTGTGATCATAAGTTTAGATTCCATGTGGGACGCTTTCTGTTTTTCATGGAGCTAGAGTGCTCCTTTCTGTTCATTTTATTATTTGCATAATACAGATCAGAGAACTCTGTTAGGTATTTCCAGCATCAAATCCATCAGTTCTGTCTGAGCTATAGCTTTGAGAAAGATGTCCAGTATTGATTTAATACTGCAAATGATGGAAGCTTTATCCCGTTCCTTGGTAAGCTGTTTCAGTGGTTAATCATCCTGACTATTTGCTGCTTCCTTAAATTAAGCACACTAAGAATTGCAACTCTGTATCTCTTTTTACCTCTAAGGTGTATTTATTTTCTAGAAAATATTTTTGTAGCAGTTTTCCAAACCATTTTCCAAGTTTCTAACATACTTTATAGATCCATTTTTGCAGTAATCATCTCACTAATTCTGAAGATGTTATATTTTTCTGTTTATCCATATCAACTACTCAGTTGTTCATGCATTCAGAGATCATATCTCATTAGTAACTCTGGTTTGGTTCGCTACTATCATCTAAATTCTTTTGATAGTTGCTGTCTTCTACTATGTATTCCTTTATTTTATCATCACTGGGTTTGTTGTTCCTGTTGTTCCTGAATATATGACCTGGCATTTGTCTGTATTTTAATGCAGATTGTTAGACTAAGCACAGCCTACTTAATGATCCAGACTGGTGTGTATAACTCCTCTATCTCCCTTGTTTACCCCTTCCCTATCATTGCAGCAGGAAGTAGTTAACACTTTTCCATAGAGTAACTGAGAAAATTGGCCCAGCCTGTCTATTTGACTTGTCTGTAATCTCTTTCGTCACCAGTCTCATCACAGACCACATGTCCTTCAAGGCACCTCAATTAGAATAAATCAATTAACAAAGCATTATTCAGTTTTTGATTAGGATAATTGTGCTTGGAAATCTGCATAGTCTGAAAGTCCACAATCCAGGTTCTGAAGACAGCGTGTAATGGACATACCTCAAAACTTACCTTTGTAAGACAAAAAGTGTACCTGACATAGCTAGGGCCATTGGATGTACTTCATGTTGCTCTTTCTTATTTCTTGTTTTTTTTTTTTTTTAATAATTTTGTGATGCACCACTTTTTTGTTCTGGACATCAGTCTGACATATCATCATCATCCATTTTAAAATTTGAATACTAAGGAATATGGTAGTGGTGATGAAGAAAAACTATGCTCCCTGGAGAGCGCATGTGTGTTCACTTCAATTGGAATCCATGGGAACTGTTGCCATTTTTTACAAAGGTTACAGAAAAAGATAAATTTGAGCTTTTTCTCCTCAACTAGTTTAATTTATGCTAAATTTAGATATTATTTTTGTAGGCATGTGCTGCAATATGATTTCTCAAGTTGATAGTGACTTGTTTGGACTTACAAACCAAGCCAATAAAACAGCAGTTGTTTAATTACGCATGAGTATTTTTATGTACTGTATACTAGATGAACAATTACAAAGGTGATTATACAAAGACCACATGTAAAAATCCAATTTAGGTATCTTCTCGTTACATTCTCAGGATTTCTAGCTCCAGAAGGGTTTATTAACTCAGGAGCATCATTGTGGTTGTATATACGTACTGCTTCCAGACCAGAGCTGTACTGTGCTACACCCAGGTTAATAAGCCCACACAGAACCAGTTCTGGAGTTTAGACTTTGGATTAAAGTAGGAGTTGTGCTTACTTGTATCTTTGTACTGATACTGAATTTAAATACTAACACTGGAATTAGTAGGAGTGTTACTAGGGCAGATCACAGGTTCATCCAGAAAGGAGATCTTTTCAATGGGCAGTAATGGTTGCATAAGAGTAAGGCAAGTATTGAGTGATGTTTTGGCCAGTGTAGAGGCTTCTTGAACTGGATATTGTTATCCACATTTTTTGTTTTTAATAAGCCCTTGATGAACATTGCTTTCCCTGAATTTCTGAAGACATTTTGAACTTATGTATACTTTTAATATGAAAAATACTTTCCTGTAGTGAGTACCAAACTATATTATGCATTGTGTGACAAATACCTTCCTTTTCTTTGATACAAACCAGGTTATAATTTCATAGCGTGAGCTCTGAGAGTAAATGTTTTCTTCCTCTTCAGCTTTTCCTAAACATTCGTGATTTTATATATCTCGGTGATACCCTCAGTTTTCTGTCTTTCATGCTTTCTCCCATTACGTGTGTTTTCTTGCCGCATATGGAAATTGTTTTGCACCTCTGACAATTATTCTTCGTCAATACCTTTTCTGTTTCTGCTATGTTGTGTTCTTCAGCTGTTTCCTAGTAATTCAAAATACTCCGTGGACATTTTCTGCTCTCTGCTGAACGATGAACTGGTATTCCTATAAAACTGTCCACAGTGGCTAGAAATTTTTACTGCGTGATAGTAGTCACATTGCAGCATAATATCTTATGTATATATTTTGGAATACTTCTTTTCATGTGCACTATTTTGCCCTTATCAGATTTGAATTTACCTTGTCATTTTATCATCTAGTCACTCAATATTAGAAGGTTCTTCTGTTAGGTATTACAGGTTGTGCTGTGTGGTCAGTATATATTGCCAGATTTTAAAACTAGTATGAAACTTGCAAGCAAGCGGAAGTGTAGAAAGCTGAAGTAGTGAATGCAAATCTGTGTGTATGTAAACATAAAGAGAACAGAAACAAGTACAAAGTTCACTATCTGCTCTGGAGAGTATGTTAAAATGATACATTCCTTTTTCAGAATAACTGAGTGACCTTTAAATGACATTTCTTTGTCCTACAGAAATCAAAGGAAAATACCAGAGTAATTTGTAAGCGCTGCAAGACAACGCTTGGAGAAACAGTATCATCAGGTATGGAATGTACAAACCAAACTAGACTTCACTGCATCAGCCGTTGAGCACTGGAAGTTAAAAACTCTGGAGGAAAGTAGTTTGTCAGTAAGGTGCAGGACTGATTCCTGTGTGTTTATCTCATTCCCTTCTGGAACAGATGAGGTTGTTGCTTCCACTGTTAGACCTTGAAAGTGACTTACGACAGGGATTTTCCTCATCTTTGTTTCTGTGGCGTATTTGGCTAATTCCAAAGCTTTGGAAGACTCAATGCATGGTTCCAGTTTACTAGGAATCCCAGTAAAAAAGGAGACCTGAGAAATTACAGGTTGTTTATTTTGCTGTCAGTCCTAGAGAATAATGGAAAGGTTAATTCAGAACTTGATCAACGCAGAACTAGAAGCTAAAGATATGATTGCTAACAGCCAGCCTGGTTTCATGGAAAGGAAGCCTTGTCAAAGAAATAGGTTATCTCTCATCATCCGATGATGAGATGATGAGATTATTGGTTTAAAAGCTGTCATTATATTGAACCAGCAGGGTTTACCTGAAGTAGTGTAACGATGAGTCTCTGGTGGTTTTTAAAATGCAGTTATTAGCAGGAGAGAAGCAGTGATAAGACTGTTACTAGCAGGGTTCATTCTTTTCATTCTCCCTCTACTCCACTGCATCAGTCAGCGTGAGCCTGGCTCAGTTCAGAGATCTGGAGAATATAAAAACTTCTCAGAAAATGCAAAGCCTGTTTAAGAAATAAGTCATGAGGAGACGCAAGACAGAAGGTCTTCTGTTACAGAAGGTTCCGATTGTCCTGTACAGGGATCTGAACAGTACAGGCTTTAATAAAACCAAATTTAAGGTAAGATGTTTGAAAGCCCACAAAGCAGGTTGTGACTTTGGGAAAGCAGTGGTTGGAAAAGAGCTTCAAAGATCATCATGAATAATGGATGCCTTAATCTAAGCCTTCGGACGATTGTAGCAACCAGTAATTGATGTGATTAGTGGCTATGGGAAAAGGCAGATACTGTGTACATGTGCAGGGATTTGATCTGGACTCTGTACATGGCTGAAGTTAGATAGCATGTCCATTGTTTTGACCATGTTTCTTCAGTACTGTAGGGAATTTACGCACAGTTCAAAGAACAGACAAAAAAAACTAACCAGAGATGGATGGTATAAGTCTGGACAGAACCATTTCTGTGAAAAGAGACTAGAGAGCAGACTTGACTGTCATGCTTTGGTGCTTCCTTATGAGCAGATATCAGTGCCTTGAAGATAAAGCTGGATTAGAGTGGTGTAGCTGTGGAGGCCAGGTTTGGCTTTGAAATTCCTCTGTCGGCTATTCCTTCCCCCAGCTCTATCCCTATATACTCCTGTGATTTTTTTCTTGGGAAGTCCCACCTTCTATGTCTCTGCAAGCAAACGCCTCCTTAATTCCCAATGCCCTTGCAGCAGTACCACCAATTCCTTACTCAGGGTAACAGCTGGGGAGCTAGAGTGACTGAACTGGCTTCTTTTCTTCCTGTCTCCCAGGACTAGGCACAGCGTGGAGCAGACTAAAATTAAACTTGGAGGTAAAATAAAATTTCATAACAGTGAGGATAATTAAAAACATGTAGTACTTATCTGGAGAAGGGGTGGGATTACCAAGTCTTTGGAATCTTTAAAACAGATTGTCTTCCTGAAATGCTTGCTTTCATCCAGTTTTAATGGTGTGTGTGGACAGAGATCAGATGAGACAATCTCTTCCACCCTTAAAATTTATGGAACTGTTGAATCTTTACTGTTGTTCACATGCTAAGGCTTAGTGGAATGAATTTATTACTCTATATGCTTAACCTGTTCTGCTGGCCCTCTGGTTAGGCTGTGTTTGTAGCATAAACCCAGAGCTTCAATATGATCGTCTTTGACCTGACTCTATTGATGGGGATTAAATTCTGTACTCAACCGCTATCATACAGTGTTAAAGGCTGTCTTAGTGGAGCTTTTGGGGAACAGTTACATCGAAACTCAGAATGTATGTAGTATTAGTCTTGAGTTAGTGCAATTTTTGTAAAGAAATTCTATTCTGCTCTTTGAGCAAAGAAGAAAATTATTCCCCTGTGTGTGCTGTTATTAAAACTGTCTCTTGTGATTCACTGCAGCATTACTGAGCAGCAGAGGGTACTAAAATACTTATGTAAGCTATGCTGATCTCAGTGCTTTAGGAAAGTTCTTTCAATTCATCTTTCAGGTTTGGCTTGAGTTCTTGCTTGCATTGTTTCAAGATGATTGTTCCCAGCGTTAAACAAGGATCAATATGAATGACAAATTGCTAATCATGTAATTAGCTCAGAGCGGTTTTCTTCTGGCAGTGTATGTTTTCTGTTATTGGTTGCTTCTCCTCCCACAAACCAAAGCAGAATTTGACCATCTGCTGCACCTCTTAATTGGGTGCTGAACAAAAGTTTAATTACTATAGTGATACGGTGACTTATAGTCTACTCGTAAGAAGTTGGTTGTTCTGTTGTACTTGAAAAATGTTTTTGTCATTTTAGATACCATTAAATATTATGTCACCGAGGTGATTATTCGACCGTCTGAGGGAAGTTTCAGCCCAACGCCAAGGTAACAAATAAAAATAAAAAAAAAATCAGATAATTTGCTCGGGTTTATGTTTTAGAAAGGATGCTAGAAATGCACTAACATTTTAGTTTCTTGAATAATTACATATAATAACAGAGGGCTCTCAAATTTTATGTAATCGTCACAGAATTAAGCATTGTAAAGGTAATGTAGTCTGAATTCACTCATGTACAATTTTGTTTGCTTGCCTTTGTGTGTGACACAGGAGAGAGATTGTGTATAATTTGTCGCAGGGTCTCACTATTCAGGTGATAAGCCAAAATACAATACTAATTTATTTTGAACTATTTCAGTTTGCATGATGTCTGGTGACTAATTATGGAGATGGAAGGTTACATTATGTAAAGTTAAATTTAGTAAAGCTTGAAATGTTTAATTCGAAGTGAGATTTTTGACTTTTCAAGTAATTCAGTTTGAAGTTAAGAGATGAAACAGAACTTGATCTGCTTATCTTGTATCATGTACTATACGTTAGTCACAGTTCTTTCCTTTTGTGAATTATATTTGAAATGTGCATCATTCTGAACCGTGTGTTCATATGTGTAAAATATAATAGGGAAAAGCTTTTATTCAGCATTTGACATTTGGTGTTGATCAAAATAAAGGATGTGGAGCAATTTAGACTGCTGATCTATTAAAAAATTCCTGTTGCAGGAAATAGAAAGTCCTCTAGTTTTGAGGGAGAGAAGGATAAAGAAGCCCCATCTCTCAATAAAAAGTGATTGTAGGATGTAGTGGAATTGACAGTATGGAGATACTCAGATACTTGTACTGCATTGATATGAATGACTTTGCCCATGTAGTTGTTATGAAAACCTATAATACGTGGTTAATTCTTAAACAGGCCTCAATTCATACAGAGCATGGTTGCTCAGTGTCTTGTGGAATTGTCCTCTGCTAAAAGCACATTTAGATTCACCGTAAAAGGGGATAATGGAAAAACCTATATTCTGGTAAGTTGGTTTTTTTT